CAGGCATTTAAAGGGTTTCTCTCCTGTATGGATTCTCTGATGTTTCATAAGGGCTGAGCAATGACTGAAACTTTTCCCGCACTCGGGGCACTTATAGGGTTTCTCTCCTGTGTGGATTCTCTGGTGTTTAACAAGGGCTGAATTCAAACTAAAGTTTTTCCCACAGTCGGGGCATTTATAAGGTGCTGCTGCCGTGTTAGTTCCCTGATGTGTAACAGGCGCTGGCCTTCGTTTCTCTCCAGTGTGCATTCTCTTATGTTTAATAAGGCCTGAGCAGTCACTGAAGCTTTCCCCACAGACCAGGCATTTATAGGGTCTCTCTCCAGTATGGCTCCTCTGATGTCTGGTAAGGTGGGAGCTCAGACGAAAGCTATTCCCGCAATCAAAGCATTTATAGGGCTTTTCTCCTGTGTGGATTCTCTGATGTGCTGTGAGGTCTGAGCTCACACTGAAGCTTTTCCCGCAGTCAGGGCATTTATAGGGCTTCTCTCCAGTGTGGACTCTCTGATGTACAATCAGGATCGATCTCCGATTGAAGCTTTTCCCACACACAGGGCACTTAAAGGGTCTCTCTCCCGTGTGGATTCTCTGATGCACAAGGAGGTCTCTACTCACACTAAAGTTTTTCCCACAGTCGGGGCATTTGTAAGGGTTGTCCACCATGTGGGTGGCCTCGTGTGCAAGAAGATAAGAGCTCACTCGGAATTTTTTCCCACATTTGAGGCACTCATAGGGTTTCTCTCCTGTATGGATTTTCCGATGGGTACAAAGGGTCGAGCTCAGACGGAAGCTTTTCCCGCAGTCGGGGCACTTATAGGGTTTCTCTCCTGTGTGGATTCTTTTATGTTTAATAAGGGTTGATCTCACAGTGAAGCTTTTCCCACATTCGGGGCATTTATAGGGCTTCTCTCCAGTGTGAATTCTCTGATGCGTAATAAGAAATGACCTCCGATTGAAGATTTTCCCACACTCAAGACAGTTATAGGGTTTCTCTCCCATGTGGATTCTCTGATGGACTTTTATACTTTTAGATTTCCTGAGAGCTCTGCCTGTGGTACTGGCTTTACCATATGACTCCTCTACGGGAATTTTCCCCAGATCTTTTGAACTGCATTGACTCTCGTAGGTAGTCACCTTCTCGGGACTCGGAGAAATGCTCCCTTCGGATCTTCCCAATAGCCTCCCATCTGCTTCCGCTTCCCGCAGGCAATTCTCCTCCTTTATCTTCACTATCCTATCCTCTGCTGGAATAAAGAGGGAAAATTGAGACCTGAGTCAGTGCTTGTGCTGGGAAGTAAAGAATCCTCTGAAAGGGGCAATGACAGAAATAAATAATGATATGATCTGAAATAAGGGGCCAAATCCCCCAAAGCAGGGGGACCAGTTCTGCTTCTGCATGGCAGCTGAGCACTGAGAAAGAAAGGGGATGAAGAGGGGGGAGAGGTATATTCATGTGTCAGTCAGGGTGTGAGGGAAGCTGACATCTGCCAGAAGGATGCGACCCCTGATGTGAAACCCCTGACATGGGTGAGAAGGGGCAGAACTGGGGGACCTTTTTGAGAATCCCAGCTGTTTCCTTCCCTCCCCCATGGTTTCTGAGTTGGTTTAACACACTCCTCACCTGCGCAGGGTCCTCTCAGGATCTCCCCTTCTTCTTCATCCAAGGGGCCCAGCTCCTCCCTTGGCTCCATCGGAGAGATCTGGAGTAGAAATAGCCCCGGGTTAGCTGGAGTGTGGGCTCCCTGCACATGTGGGGAGTTTATTCACTCATGTGTATCCATGTGCGATTTTTACCGATTTTTTAGCCGGGAACAGTTGAGTCATCTTGAAAAGTGAAGAGTTAAAATCAGAATTGTTGTTTTTCTATGAGGGAAATGAAGCTTTAATTCTCTCTCCAGTCACAGACCGATGCCACATTGTGCTGTTGCTTTAGCAATGAGTTCTAGTGAATATGGTTCTAGGCAGACCCTCATGAGACCTCTGATCTACACCCAGCTCTGTCATTGACCTGAAAAGCAATATTCCCATCCCCAAGTTTCCAAATATCAGGAGTCAGATCTCAAAAATCATGAGATTTCCTGAGGAAAAAAGTGATTTAAATAAAGAGAACAAACCAATAATAATACATGTTGGGTTCTTTTCTTCCAAGTTTGGCAGTCTGTTGGGATCTCTTTTTCTGAGATCCTCATGGCTAGAATTTTGTTTATTTTTTTAAATGAAAGCTGAGATTCTCATGTAATTGCAGGGCTCCTTGACCTGGGGCTTTATTAACACCCCCCCACACACACACACACACACAGACACACTAAATATCATGAGACAAATATCACAAGCTGACAACACACAGACAGGGAGATAGAACTGGAGATACTGATCGTGGTATTTAAAAGTGATTAGTCATTTTGGGTACCTCTGATAGAGAAGGCCCAACCCAAAATGCCAGAAAGGGACTTGACTGAAAATTAATGAGACTTAGGCTTTGAAATCAATTAGGCATTTTTTATATGATCACCCGAGAAGCATATACTAAGCAATTCCACCCTAGATAAAGATACATTTAAATTAAATTTTATTCTGCTACTTATTTAAATAAAAGTGAGTGCAGCAAACAGAAGAAATTCCTTTCCATCCTAGCTTTCACCAGCCCAGTTACTCTTTGTAGGGTGACACGAACAGCCCTTCCAGTCCAGGGTCCCCCCAAATACATCCTCACTGAGTTTGAGAACCCTTGGTATATCTCATAACAGCCAGCAGGTTCAGAACATTACAAGCTTTCATAAAAGACCTTACTTAATATGTTTTTATAGTGCAATGACACAGCATGCAACCAGTTGGTTTAACTGCTTACTTATGTGGATTTAAACCTTTGGTTCTTCCGTTTGGGTGTCTGGACCCTGATTGTCAAACCATGGTCCAGTGATTAGGTTGCTAACTTGGGATGCAGGAGACCTCGCTCCGCCACAGACTTCCCGTGTGACTCAGAGAGTCAGAGTCTCTCTCTGCTGCAGTTCCCCAGGTGGGGACAATAGCATTTCCTTATCACACAGGGGTAGTTGGTGGATAAATACATTAAAACTGCCAAGGTCCTCAAAGTACCTTAGTTTGAATTTTCCAAAAATATGGAAGGTAAGTATCTAATTATGAGCAAGATAATTATTACAACTTTTATATCCCTATGGTTAATAGTTAGGGCCCTATCAAATTCACAATCCATTTTGGTCAGTGTCACCGTCATAGGATTTTAAAAATCATAAATTTCATGATTTCAGCTATTTAAATCTAAAATTTCACCATGTTGTAACTGTAGGAGTCCTGACCCAAAAGAGGGTATTGGGGGCATTGCAAGGTTATTGTAGGGGGGGTTGTAATATTGTCATCCTTACTTCTGTGCTGCTGTTGGCAGCAGCACTGCCTTCAGCGTTGGGCAGCTGGACAGCAGCATCTGCTGGCCGGGAGCCCAGCTCTGAAGGCAGTGCCATGGCCAGCAGCAGCATAGAAGTAAGAATGGCATGGTATGGTATTGCCACCTTTACCTCTGTGCTGCTGCCTTCAGAGCTGGGCCCTCAGCCAGCAGCCGCCACCCTCCGGCTGCCCATTGCCACCCTTACTTCTGCACTGCTGCTGACAGTGCTGCTTTCAGAGCTGGGCGCCTGGCCAGCAGCCACCACTTTCCAGCCTCCCAGCTCTCAAGGCAGTGCAGAAGTAAGGGTGGCAATACCACAACCCCCTACAATAACCCTGCAACCACCCCACCCCCTCAAACCCCTTTTGGATCAGGACCCCCAGTTTCAGAAACATTGGTCTCCCCTGTGAAATCTGTATAGTATAGGGTAATAGTACACAAAAGGCCAGATTTCACGGTGGAGACCAGATTTCATGGTCTGTGACAAGTTTTTCATGGCCGTGAATTTGGTAGGGCCCTATTAATAGTGGACACACACCCACCATTTTATTTTTCCAGCTAAGGATTAAAAAAAAAAAAAAATTACCACACTGCTCATATTTCGTGTCAGTTCATTTTTTCAATCCTAGTGCAAGATCATCTTATTTGCATATGTGAGGCCAGATGAAGTACATCAAGAAAAGCAACCACATCGGTGGACACAATTAGCAACAATCGGTCACAGTCTGCAGCAGAATTTAAACAGGACAATTATATTGGTGTGGTAGCCAACACTACAGAATTTCATGGAGTTTTGATCCTCCAGAGGAAGAGACGACCAACCTCTGTCTGCAGAGTAAATTTAGTACAAGTAAAAAGGGGGAGGGGGAAAGAATTGTAGAACGACCAGTATTCTAAGTTGTCACAATCCATGATAGTCCAGGTTGCCCTTCTGCATACAATGTTTTTCTCTGTACAAGTGATCAACATATATAACAACTTTATATTTAAATTAAAATAAGGAATTAGTAGCCTTCAATTTCCTTGTTGACATCTGAGGTTGGCATTATAGTGTGCTCAAATATTCCAGAAATGGGAGGTGTTGTCACACTGGAACACACCTACTAACAGAGCCGGCTTCAGGAGAGAAACTGTAATCATTTCAGCCAGGGATAGTCAAATATTTTTGTCAAGGTCCAAATTTCTTGGTCAAGGTATGGCCAAGAGCCAGACTCCGGAGAAAATAATACAAATAATAACAACAACGACAATAATGAATAAATAAAAATCATTGTGGGGTCCATTCAAAAGCATCTGGTGGTCCAGTTTTGGCCCATGATCTGCCTATTGGCTACCATGATTTGAGCCCCCCGTCTCCCTTTACAGCAGGGAGCAGATTCGGATGGCCAGCGAGGGAAGTGACTTCAGCAGATGTTACTGAACATGTTCAGATGGCTGAAGCCTGCTCGGTAACAACAGCAAAGTAGCAAATTATGACCAGTAGCAGTTTGTAATATTATTCTGTCCCCTCCTACCAGGACTAAACCCAATGAGACATTTTTAATCTCCCCCTCCCTCCCAGGCACAGAACCTCTGAACCAAACCCCTGAAAGGAGCAGAATCAAAGGAGACGCTCTGGGGGATCCCCCCTGACACTGTCCCCAGGGCAGCGCATCCCCCCAGCAGCGCGGGGACTAGGCAGAGGCAGGAACTGGCTTTTCCTCTCCCTGCTCCTCCCCTTCTCCCCAGGAAAGTCAATCGGCCCCGTGGTGCTGCAGGGAATGGGGCTGGGCAGGGCTGGGAGCCGGGACCTCCCTCCCCACTGATTGCTCATACTGCCCCTGCCAGTCTCTGCCCCGTCTCCCTCCTGCCCCCTCTCTCCTCCCCTCGGGCTGGGAGACTCGGTGCCTGGCCGTTGGTGCAGAGTCACTTTCCTGCCCGGCTCCAGCCCTTTCCTCCGGGTCTCTCCCCTCACCTGCAGGCTCCGGCTCAGGGGCTGGTGTCGGCAGAGCCCGGGGCTGCCCCAGGGGCTGGTTCCGGCCCCCGGAGAAAGTCCCCCCGGCTGGGCGCAGAGGGGGATCAGTGCAGGTCTCTCCCCCCACAGACCCCGCTGGGCAGCAGCCGCTGCTCAGCCCCGGCTCCCGGCTCATACGCCAGGCAGCGGCACCGTCTGACCCGGGAGGAAGTTCAACCCCGATATCCTGAGCAGGGAGAGCGGGATAGTTCAGCGATCAGCCGCCTCCTTTCCCCGAGCCCTGCGCAGAGCCCCCTGGCGGCAGCAGCTCCGGAAATGCAGATACAATGTTGACCCGGCCCCAGCTCGGGAACAGCTGCCCAGCAACGCTGCAGCCAGGGGAGCACTGCGGGTGCTGCGCCTGGTGGCGAGGGCGCTGCTCTCTGTGCTCAGCACAGCCGGGGAGCTGCGATTTATTGCTGCTGCTTCTCCTGGGAGCCGGGAGCCCAGCAGGCGGAGCCGGAGACTCCAGGTAATTGAGGGAGAACTGGGGGGAAAGTGCTGGGTGTCTCCCCCCCCCCCATCGCTGCTCCTCGCATGTCTGCCAGTCCCGGACTTTAGCGCAGAAATTTTCCTTGCAGGGGTTAGGGTTAGGGGGTCGTGGTTCAGGTGAAGGAAATGGAGAGAAAGGCCTTGGGGGGCGGGATAGCAGGATCAGGCCCCAGCGGGGGTCCCCGCTGTGCCTGGGCGGAAGGGGAGGGGTGAGCAATAAGGAGATGGAGGGGAAAGGGGGGGTACAGGCAGCATGGTTGTGCAGGGGGGCACCCCAGCGAGAGGAGAAGAGTGGGGGGCTCAGGGGAGTGTGTGTGGGGGGTTATTCCTCATTTAAAAATCTACCCCATTATCTTGAGACAACCTGGGGGGGTCCCTGTGAACACCGCAGCGATGGGTAAATCTCCTCAGCATTCCAGTGCTGACAGGGGCCTGTTTGCTCCACACCCATGAGGTCTGAAAGGACTGAGGCCAGGTCTACATGACAGACCTATGTTGGTATAACTACATGGCTCGCATGTACAAATCCACCATACCCCCCCACCCAGATTCAGAGGGCAGGTGAGGGTAGCAGCTTCAGCAGATGTTACCGAGCCTGCTCAGACTGCTCCGGCCTGCTCAGCGACAGCAAACTAGCAAATGTTCACCATCCCTTGGGAGGATCTGGAGCAAAACGTGGCTGTTATTCAGCAGCCTGGCAGGGCAAGAAGGGCAATTGGGGAAGCTTCAGCAGGGGCTTTAGTTCATGTCACATCCCAATTCCCCCCAGGCTCTTTCCCTGCAGACAGATGCTCTGGGCTTTAGTTACAGCTGGCCCCACTGACTGGGCTGCAGCCCAGGTTGGTAGCGAGGGACCAAGGAAGGGGCTGAGCAGCTAAGAGCCTTTGTAGCAGATGCTGGCAGGGGAAAGAGGGAAGGGGGGGAGTTAAGGGTTCTGAGGCTTTTCTGCAATACAACTATACAGTCTATCTAGATAGCGGAACTGAACATCATGCACTGTGTGACTCCTGCTTTTGACTGATTAGTAATCAAGGCTCCTAGAAGAAGCTACTGCTGCCTCCATTGTGATCTGGAGACCTGGACCAAGCAACTGCTGCTCTGTATCAGGGACAGACCAGAGAAACCAATGGGGGACTTTCTGCAGTGGCTGGACCCAGCCCCTGGGGCAGCCCCGGGCTCTGCCAACACCAGCCCCTGAGCCGGAGTCTGCAGGTGAGGGGAGAGACCCCGGGGAAAGGGCTGGGGCTGGGCTGTAGAGGATGGGTTCCTCTAAAGCGCTGGGAAATGTAGTTGAAAAGCTACATCAGGCAGGGAGGTTAGTCTCCGCTGTCTCTCCCCCTAGGGCAGGTCTCTG